CTCACAAAGGCTTAAAAGGCGTTCGCCCCGTCGATTCCCCTTTCAATTCATTCACTCCATGGCGTTACAACAATCACCAAGAAATGCTTTGTGTCATTATTTAATTTGAAGAGCACGTTCTTCCTATTACCGGACTTATCCTCCTTTGATGGAATAATCGGCCTTGACCTATTAAAACAGGCAGGGGCAACACTATGCCTAGCTTCCGGTAGCCTAAATTGGGGCACCGAGGTAGAGCAAATCGATTTCCATACGTGCGCTGATGTATACTTCACCAACGTGAATTGCTCAGATGCACCGCCATTGGCAAAAAACACGTTCCTAGAAATGCTAAAGACCAGGAAAAAGGCCTTTGCAAACCCTAATGAGGCGTTACCTTACAACACATCGGTGGTAGCTACCATCAGAACAGTTAGTGAGGAGCCCATATACGCGAAGTTATAACCGTACCCCATGGGGGCAGCGGATTTCGTCAACAAAGAGATTGAAGATCTGCTTAAAAAACGGGATAATTCAGAAGTCGGTATCCCCTTACAACAACCCGATATGGGTTGTGGATAAAAAAGGGACCGACGAGCTTGGGAACCGAAAAATGCGACTAGTTATTGACTTTCGCAAATTAAACGAAAGAACTGCGTCCGACAAATATCCTATGCCAAATATAAACATGATATTAGGCAACCTAGGTAATGCTAAATATTTCTCTACGCTAGACCTCAAGTCTGGCTATCACCAAATCATACTCGCAGAACGCGACAGAGAAAAAACTTCCTTCTCAGTAAATGGGGGAAATACGAATTCCGCAGACTACCGTTTGGCCTCAAAAATGCAGGCAGCATTTTTCAGAGGACCATCGACGACATCCTACGGGAACAAATCGGCAAGTTCTGCTATGTTTACGTTGACGACGTAATCATTTTTTCGGAAGACGAAGACTCTCACATCAAGCACGTAGATTGGGTTCTTAAGAGCCTGTACGATGCAAACATGAGAGTATCAATAGAAAAATCCAGCTTTTTTAAGAAAAGTGTGAGCTTCCTTGGGTTTGTAGTCACTTGTAACGGTGCTACAACAGACCCAGACAAGGTAAAGGCCATAAAAGAATTTCCAGAACCCAAAAATGTTTTTGGGGTACGATCATTTCTAGGCCTAGCCAGCTACTATCGATGTTTCATTAAGGACTTCGCAGCAATAGCGAGGCCTATATCGGACATCCTGAAAGGGGAAAACGGAACAGTTAGTAGACACAGGTCACGAAACATTCCGGTTCAGTTCTCTGAGGCGCAGCAACAAGCGTTCCAGAAACTACGAAATATCTTAGCGTCCGACGACGTAATGCTAAGGTACCCCGACTATAAAAAGGCATTTGATCTAACGACAGATGCCTCGGCCTATGGCATTGGCGCAGTATTGTCCCAAGAGGGACGACCAATAACAATGATCTCAAGGACATTGAAAGACAGGGAGGTTAACTATGCCACCAATGAGAGGGAACTCTTAGCCATAATCTGGGCACTGGCCAAGTTACGACATTATTTGTACGCGGTGAAAGATATCAACATCTTTACCGACCACCAGCCGTTAACCTTTGCAGTGTCGGAATCCAATCCGAATGCAAAGATTAAAAGGTGGAAAGCGCGCATTGATGAGTCAGGAGCGCGGATTTTCTAAAAACCCGGCAAGGAAAATCTTGTTGCCGATGCACTGTCACGGCAACAACTTAACGTCATGGAGGGACAAGAAGCTGAATCGTGCGCAGCCACCATTCACAGCGAGCTCTCCTTGACACACACAATTGAAACGACGGATAAGCCCTTGAATTGTTTCCAGAACCAGATAACTCTGGAGGAGGCACGCTTTCCGTTAAAACGCAGCTTCGTCCTCTTTGGTAACAAGAGACGGCATGCGATTAACTTCTCCTGCAAAGAGTCATTACTTGATGAGCTCGCAGACATAATCGTTCCTAAAGGCGTAAACGCCATCCATTGTGACCTGCACACGCTGGCAATGATACAGGACGAATTGGTCCGGCAATTCCCGGCCACCAAATTCTGGTATTGCAAAAACCGAGTGACGGACATTTTTGCAATCGGGGAGAGACGGGAAATCATTACTGCCGAGCATAATAGGGCACACAGATCGGCACAGGAGAATGTCAAGCAGGTGCTCTTCGAATATTATTTTCCTAAAATGATTAAATTAGCCAACGAAGTTGTCCAAAACTGCAAGACCTGCGCGAGGGCCAAATATGATAGGCATCCCAGAAAACAGGAAATCGGCGAGTCACCGATCCCATCCCATGCAGGGGAGATGTTACACATTGATATCTTCTCAACGGACAGGAAATACTTCCTGACGTGCATCGACAAATTTTCAAAGTTCGCAGTCGTGCAGCCCATTCCCTCTAGAACAATTGAGGACCTGAAACCAGCGCTGTTGCAGCTAATGAACTATTTTCCAAAAACCAAAACGATCTATTGCGACAACGAACCTTCGTTGAATTCGCATACGATCTCGGCCATGCTGACTAACCACTTTGGGGTTGGTATCGCAAATGCACCACCCTTACACAGTGTATCTAACGGACAGGTTGAACGCTTTCACAGCACCCTGCTAGAACTCGCTAGATGCATTAAGATTGTCAAAGGTATAACCGATACCATAGAATTGATTTTACTAGCCACTGCAAAGTACAACAAATCAATTCACTCGGTCATTAACAAAAGGCCAGCTGATGTTATACAAATTAAAATCCGAGAGAAAATAAAAAACGCCCAGGACGCGTTAAGAAGCCGAGAAAACGCATCCCGGCAGAATAGGGTCTTCGAGGTTGGGGAAAAGGTATTGGTAAAATCCAACAGAAGGCTAGGAAATAAACTCACACCCTTATGTGAGGAGAGAGCCGTAGAAGCGGACCTGGGGACCACGGTCCTCATTAAGGGAGGGTGGTCCACAAGGACAATCTTAAATGATACAACCAACGATGTCCTTTAAGTTTTTTATTTACCTTTTATTATTTTTATACTTTTTCTTCTCTTAGCCACTTGGCAAGTTATTTACTTACATAGGCCTTAGTGCCATACCTGGTTTAAGTTAGATTAATTTTGGTGGAGGAAAATTTAAACATCTTCGGAACTATACATAATCAAGGTTCATTCCACAGGTGCGGTTATATCATCCTACTGTCCCTGTCATTGGCGTCGGCGCACATTGCTGACTATTCGCAAGCAAAATACATTCCCATCATTGATGGCGAAGTGCTGGTATGGGAGGAATTTGCGTATGTAACACACACGTCAAATCTTTCGGAATACATGCGAATACTTGACGAAACAGCAAGCATGAGTGACATGTTCCCACAGTCGCATATGAAAAAATTGCTGGAAGTAGACACCGCGCACATACGAGACCTACTGGAATCGTTGGGCGTGCACCATAGGATTGCTAGAAGTTTAGACTTTCTGGGGTCAATTCTTAAGGTAGTAGCAGGAACACCGGACGCCGGTGATTTGGAGAAGACGAGATTCATAGAGATGCAGCTGACTAACGCAAATAATAGACAGGTAGCAATCAACACTAAAGTTCAAGATAAAATTAATGAATTAACCAACTACAGAAAATCAAATTCTTAAAACTTCTAAAGACTCACAAGTCGACACTGGCCATCTATATGAAACACTCCTGGCCAGAAATAGAATGTTGATGATGGAATTACAAAACTTGATGCTTGCCATTACACTTGCTAAAGCTAATATTGTCAGCCCCAATATACTCGATCACACAGACCTGAAGTCAGTTTGGCTTGAGGAACCCACTAACACCCCCATAAGGGACCTTATGTCCGTAGCGTCCGTAAAGATTTTACAATCTACCAATGCCCTTCACTTTATAATTAAATTTCCAAAGATTAAAAACGTTTGCAAAAAGGTCACTATATTCCCTGTCAGTCACCGTAATGTTATGCTGCGAATAATGGACAACGTTGTGGCCATGTGTGGTGGAAAAGTCCATACGATTAAGAACTGTGCCGTATCGCCGGGAGCCACGTTCTGTCAAACGTCATCAGACAGTTCATGCGCTAGAGAACTCCATGCAGGCGTACTGGCACACTGCGCAACCCAGCCAAGTGACCTACATCCCGTCACTCGAGTTGATGAAGGAATCCTCATCATCAATGACCAAACAGCTAAGGTCAGAGTAGACAACGGTACTGAAGTCTGGGTACCCGGTACGCACCTCGTTACCTTCGAAAGTCGTGTCTCCATCAACGAAACCCTCTACGTCAACCACGATAAGGCCCACACGAGAACTCCAGGGGTAGCAAGATCATCATTGCTCAACATCACATTCAATCAAGATGTGCTCAGCCTCCCTTACCTTCAACGATTAAACGAACGTAACGTGGAGCTTATTAAGGAGTTCGACAAAAACATCGACACCAACCAGACGTACCGCATATCACTGATCGTGGGCGTATTCTGTTGTGCGATGATCTGTGTCGGTATGGTCTATCTGCATTTCTTCAAGGCCAGAAGATCGGCAGCCCAACTGAAGGAAGTCATTGCCGAGATAGCGCCGGCCGAGGGCGGCCTTAATCCAAAGGGGGGAGTAGTTAACAAGTTAACACAAGCTGACAGAAGTCAATGACATAAGCATTGGTTTCTGTCCCTTATCCAACTCCGGCCGAAATTGCTGATGTTGCATTTGGGCCGGACGCTCGTGCACAGACGGCAAACACTGCATATTTGCGTGGCCGCTGTGAGTCTTTTGTTAGCTCTAAGTTTCATTCTTAAGTTCAGTTCATTATTGACATTCAATAAAGTAAGAGCACAAGCTCATACAAATGAATCTCCGACACTTAGTCGTTAAATCACTTATTAATTATTACACTGACTGAGTCCCTAGGCCAGCAGTGTTGAAGGGAAGTCAACCTTCCAACATAACCTTCCTATCTCAGCATTGGAGGTACCAGGCCAACCGGCCGCACACGGAGTAACCAGCTAACATCCATTGGAGACAGCAGCGAGGGAATTCTGATAGTTCATCTCCTGCACCCCCTATACTTTTAATTTAAACATTTAATTAAAATAAGGGAAGGAACTTGTTTTCTTAATTCCGTGCAAACACTTTGCTTACAACCAACCTTTACACTTGCGTTGTCCGTGCCGATCCCAATCAAATTCTCCAGGTTTAATTTGAAATTGCTTAGTTCCTGGCAGAGGCTGTTCGCAATTGTTTTCGCGTCGCCCTCCTCGAGCGGAACTATGGATAAAAATGTGCTCCGTGTTAAACTAAAGTAGTTTATGACAACACCTATGTACATATATAGAATATATTTAATTGGGTTCTATGATGATTAGCTTTTTAACTCACCAAGTGTCTTGCATACACTAATATCTGTACTCTCATCAAGCAACAAGCTGTACTTGGCATCACCGATGTCCGGCTTTAGTAGGGTTATAAAGCTTGGAGCCAAAATATTTTTATAACACTTGTGCACTTTGATCTATGCAGCTTCATAGCACCGCCATCCTGAAAATTATTTCCGCACAGCAATCCCAAATGGTCAATGGGGCTGACGGATGAGTGCGTGGCAATATACAAACACAGTGCCGCCTCTTTCTGGGAGGTTTTCATAGAGACAGATGAAACAATTGTTATTTTGTTTGTCTGTGAAAAAGAAGATGCCGAAGACTTGTGTTTTGTAGTCTTGGCATGTGCCTGCAAATCGCAAAGCTTTGCATTAATGCTCGATTTTCAATATTTGCAAAAACATTTGAGATCATCGGATGGATCTAAAGTCAACCAATCCTTAAACGCAGGGTCTTGCATCCAGGCGTGACGCGGTTTTTGCTTATAAATTTTCGGCATTTTAAAGCTCACACGCGGTCGATGCGAAAGCTGTGAAATACCCAGATGGTGATGGTATAAAGCTTGTCAAAAACCGATAAAAATGTAAAGATCTTTTGACATATCGATGTTTCTTTACCATTCCAATGCAAAAATACTGCAAGTTGTTAAAGTGTGGCATCGTAAAACATAAAAAATACAAGAAGGTCAAAAAAATTGTAATGCATTTTAAGCACAGCTCAGCAGCGATGGACATGTTGCGCAAATTGCAAGCCGACGAAGGAGTACCAAAAGGTCGCATAAAAACTCTGGTGCAAAATGTGGACACAAGATGGAATTCATGTCTGGATATGCTGATTTCGTTCCTAAGCGTTTCAAATAAAGTGGCGATGGTCCTAATAAGTAGGGCAACTTCTGTTAAAGGATTGCCAGAGAAATATGTAAAGATTTTTGTGACCTGTTAACTCCATTCAAAGATGCAAAAGATGCAAATATGAGAAAATAAGTGGCGAAAATTACGTCACCGTGAGCTTGGTAATCCTACTAATATCGTTATTACTGGACAAAGTTCCGTCGGCCGACGGAATTTTGACAAAAGATGCGCTATTAAAGGAAGCAGAGAAAAGATTCAACATTTTACAAAACAAGAAGATTCTTGTAAAATCGACTTTCTTGGACCCAAGGTTCAAGAAAGTTTACCTTGCACCTCTTACAGCCCTTGAAGCTGTCAAGGACATTACATTTGAAATAACTGAAAATAAAACTTTTGAAAAAGTACGTAAAATTAAGTTGTCACCGGCATTAACACCATTATAAAATACCTCTTAGTAACTCTTTCTATTTTTAATTCTTTTATAAAATAATACGAAATATAAAATAGTTTAATATTTTAATATTTATATCTTAAACCATATCTTTATTTTCAACTAAAAATATTGAAACTAACTTATAATTCCATGTATTTTTAGGATTCACGGTTCCTTGCAAACACGGTAGAAGAAGCAACCGATTATAAAAACGAAGGATTCCTGGAGGCGCATATGAGTTCCATTGCAACGCGCCAACCCTTGGAAGCCACGGGAAACGAGGAAATCAAATTGTTTTTGGGTCTCCCATTTACTTCTTGGGATAGCGACCCGATCGCGTTTTGGACTTCACAGTCGGAAACATTGCCAGGACTTTCAAAGCTGGCATTGGTCTACCTTATCACACCAGGTAGCTCCGTACCATCAGAGAGGTTGGCCTCCGCCATAAAATGTGTGGTATGGTCCACTCGAAACTGCATAACGAGGTGCACGGCGACTCATGTCAGCGTCATCGATCAAGAACCGATATGCACAGCGATTAATGTCAGCGTCATCGATCAAGAATCGATAAACACATCGACTCATGTCGGGGTCATTGACTTTGCTGAAGACTACGAGAAAATTCGACGTGATAAGTGATATGTACAGTGAAAAAGTCAAAGAAATGATCATACTAGACAAATATAAGTTTCGAAACTGTTACAAACTTCGATCTGGGGAAATTGCAATGCCAAAGTATTCACAATGCACAGAGGTTCGGCTTGTATGGAGCCGCGGCCATAAATACTTTTAGTTGTTATATTGTTATAAAATTTTCCCCAAAAATTAAAAAAAATTATTATAAATCTATATATATATATAAGCAATGGATTCCGACCGATCAAAATCCGATTCAGAATCGCCCAAAACTTCTACAGATCCACGAAAGTCAATTTTCAATAATTTTTTTTCCAAATACATAAATACATATATTTCGAATCAAAATTTTTTTGATGTGCCTCACGAGTACAAAACCTGCAACTGACTTTAATTTTATTTCGCAGACGAAAACAAATTCTCTTGTTGATATTGCTCAAAATTTATTCTTTTTCAGAGTTGAACAAAAATATGTGAAGACATGGGAAAATAAGTATAAGTAGATTCAGGAGAGCAATGCAGCTAAGTGTTGAAATTTACATGTTAAAAAATATTTTTTTTTAATTTGTATCAACAAAGGACACACTTTTTCGATTGCAAGTCATGCACTCAGGATGGGATAACTGCTGTCAAGAAACACGAAAGGACATTAAAGCATAAGATGTCGGCGAAAACGGTGAGGAGCACCAGAAACATATTTGCTTCTTGTAAGGAGGCTGTCAATTTGAGCCAGCAGGTGAAAGAGTTGGAGCTAAAAGTTGCAATGTTCATTGCAAGCAAAAATCTTCCCATAAGTATTTCTGGCGATTTGATCGAATGGATCAAAAACATGGAGTTTGGCAAAGAGGTCCGACAAAAGGCCACATGTGACCGAACGAAATGAACCATGTTGATCCGAAATGTGATTGGAGAATACGAGTCAACTGTTTGGTTTATGAAGGCCAGGATATTCTCCTTAATTATTGACGAGTCAACTGATATTTCGGCTTGCAAACATATCGTCATGTGCATCAGGATGGACACAGAAGAAGGCATTAGAGATGAATTTTTGGATCTTTTAAAGGTTTGTAATTATAGAACTACTTGTACTTCTCGAACTTTCTCTTTAAAATTTTTGGGCAGGTCCTAAAATCGGACTCCGATTCGTTTTATCAACTAATAGTCGACTTTTAGAAAGAGCACGACATCCCTTATAAATCGAATATGGTCGAATTTGGGAGCGATGGAGCTAGTGTGTTGTTGGACATCCCAACCTTGTTCACGACGAATTGCATCTGCCATTCCCTCGCCAGAGCTGTATCCTACGCTCTGCAGGAAATTCCAACAGAGTACGAAAAGCTGCTTTCTGACACATATTCCTATTTAAAGCATAGCAGCAATAAAAATAGCTTTTGGTGAGTGCCAGAAATTACTGGGAACCCCAGAGCGACATATGTATACAAAAAGTGTTTGAGATTCGGTGGCTATCTCTGCAGTCTGTAAAAAAAACGTACGTTTTAGGTGCTCCGGTTTTCACAAACTTTTTGTCATCGTTTCGTTATCGGAATGTTTCATTTTTTCATCGTTTCTCACTGTTCAAACAGCTGACTTGTTTTTTGGTCAAAAGTAAACAACGCGAAAAAATGCCTTTTATATTTTCAATTGCCTGTTTTGAAGCCATTTAAGAAACGAAATTAATCATATTTATTTCTAAAAAGCTTATTTAACTTTTCTTTAAAAATATTCTTTTCTTCGTTTTCATTTTATCAGTATTTTTAAGTGGTTGTTTGGTTCCACTACAAGTACGGCAGCATTGACGATAACTTTTGGCAATAGATTTATCGACCCCTTAGCAAAACAAAAGTTGTTGTTGCCGACGGCAAATATTTTATTTATGAAATCAAGATGGGGTCAGAAAAGAATTATTTAAAAAGAAAATACGAATTAGATTGATCTACTGATGGTGTGAAATAAACATCAATAGACCAAGGAGTCAACTATTTTTTTCCTTTTGCCAGGGGCGGACGCAGGGGGGTGTCCGGACCCCTCCAAAAACCCAGACTTTTTCAAATTCCCTTACAGCACACGGTCTTTCAACCATGTAAACTAAAAAAATTTTTGATCGGACCCCCCCCCCCAAACAAAAAAAATTTTTGATCGGACCCACCCAACATTTTTTTCTGCGTCCGCCCCTGGGGGAAATGCTCAAAAACAGCGAGGTGGACCCAAAAAAACAGCCGCCAGAGCTGCCGCCACGAAAGATAAGCGCCAATACCACACCTGCTCCGCTCTCGCCACAGCTGCAGTCAAATGGAAGACGATTTCAAGAAAGTCCTAAAGAAAAGCGACGCATAATGACTGTGACTTCCACGACAACAACAACGGTGATCAGCTTCAACGGCAGCGATTCTGAAATGGAGTGCATTGCAGTGGAGGATATTGGCAATCATAACTACTTGCCACAGCAGCAGCAGTCGGGCCCAAAAACAAAGCTGGAGGCACCATCCCAAAGCCAATTGCAGAGAGTTTTTTATTAAATTAAACAATGAAAAACAAACCAATTATAAATTTCATGTTTCATTTTACTTATTTAGTACAGTCACTGCATATTTCTGTAGAATAAAATATCAGATATAAATATTTATTTTTACTCAAAAAATATCGATATATTGATATTTTGATATATTTTTCACATCCCTAATACACAGCTTGCAGTTATTCCACGAAGGCAGTTGTGCTTCTTTCCTTAGGTATATTTTGCGCAAGCATTTTCAAATAATTTGCATTTAACACAAATACACTGACTTTAATCGAAATTTGGATTTCGCCAATCAGCCATAACAATACAAGCAAGTGCAAAAACATCGTAATGCATCTAAATCTGCGGGCCAAAAATAATAGCTTGCCATAAAATTTACAGGTGTTTTTCGCAGTATACAAGTTAACTGTGGTCAGCAAGACCAGAGTCGTTGACCATAGTTACGTTAACATTGTCGCGCCGGCCAAACTGCCGACCAAGCAATGGGCCGGACGCTCGTGCACAGACGGCAAACACAGCATATTTGCGTGGCCGCTGTGAGCTTATGTTAGCCTTAAGAATATTCCCTCTATTCAGTTCCATTCTAAAAGCTGAATAAAGAGCACAAGCTCATTCATTGAATAACTCCGGCAACCGCCGTTAGACACTTTATTATTCCAAACTTGACTGAGTCTCTAGGCCAGCAGGTAAAGAAGGGCAGTCACCCTTCCATCATAATCATCCTATATCATCAATAGATGATAACAGCCAGCCGGCTACCCACACAGTGACGGCTGCGCGGGAACCTCGAAGAAGTTTAATACCTGCCGGGTGGACTTCGCGGGAGAAATACATTAATTGGCGCTCAACTAGTGGTATTTAGTTACCCTACCGGACGTGGAAATATTAAATAAAAGTGACGGCGGCGTGGGAGAAACGCAGCCAAAGAAAAATCAACACACACAATTTACAAAAAATGTAAGTGGGCCCTTCGGCCAAACCTTTTAGGTCTTCAAAAAAATATTATTAATTCGGATTAGTGCAAAAAAAAAACACAAGCATTAAATTCTGTCCCTCTAACAATAAAGTGGACCAAGATTAAAAGATACAAATAAATAAAGTGTGTAGTGAGCTTTCGAAAAATCTCATTATTTAAATTGATGGCCACAGTTGGTTTATTTTTTATTGTGTCCGGTGGAGGAAATTTACCCAACATCCCCAATATTAAAAACTTAAAAATACAACAATATTGCACATAATTTTCCCTGCAAGATCTTTTTTTAATTAACAAGATTTAATTGACAAAGAAATAAATAATAAACACGTTAGTTAGGGTGAGTGGTGAAATTTATTCTTGCCCTATAATTTTTTTCTGTGTAACGGCGCATCGATATTTCGCATAATACTTCAGTGACTCTTTTTTCTCACTGTGTAGTTAATGTAAAAATTCATGCAGTGGCGCATACTTTGCCGCCCTGCAGAAACTGTTTTGTTTTTATTGCTCCGCTTATTCGAAGGAAATACGATCCCAGGGCCCTCCGACTTTGTTTTGTTTGTGCAGCGCTTTTGCATACGCGCGCAAAATTCCGTGCAGTTAAATTCAGCTGCCCGTGGGCGATCTATGCCTTCAATATAAAAGACATAATAAATAAGGCAAAGACATGAATCTTTCTTTCAGCGATTTGGGATTCTTTATTGGTAAAATTCTTTATAGCTTCATATGAGCTCCCCGTTCCTTCAATATAGGGAGAATAAGCAATACTCAAGTGACTCGGGGTCTGAGAGTGAAGAACAAGGTCAAATTTCACCCGTAAGTTGCAGCCCCCCAGCCCCCCCCTACAAACATGGATCCCGAACAACTCCGAACCGTTATTCAGGCCGCCTTCAGCAATGCCCTTGCAGAACAGGCCGTCCAAAACTCAGCTCACAGAGCAAGCACTTAGGCAGAAAATTGAGGAGTTGGCCGGGGGAGTAGCGGCAGTAAGCACTGCGTCAGAACCAGCCCCGACCACTCAAATAAAAACATACATATGCAGCTATAGAGATACACGATACAATACAATGCAACGAGCCTTTAGATGCCGTTAAATGTCTGCCAGAATTTGCGGGGACGCAAGAGTCTTACGTATCTTGGCGACAAGCAGCTGTAGCCGCCTATCACATTTTCAGGCGTTTTGATGGCAGCTCCCGACACTACCAAGCGGTCATAATCATTAGGAGTAAGATTAGGGGTCCCGCTGATGCCGTGCTATCTTCGTTTGGCACTGTGCTGAACTTCGACGCGATTATAAGTCGCTTGGACTTCACGTGCAGTGACAAGCGACCGATGCATGTCATCGAGCAAGAGTTGGGCACCCTAAGACAGGGTGGCCTAACCTTGTTACAATATTATGATGAGGTCGAGAAGAAGCTCACCCTATTAACAAACAAGGTCAACATGTCTTACGAAGCAGCTATGGCCAAAGTATTGTGCGACAAATTCCGCGAGGATGCTTTGCAAGTGTTCATCTCCGGGCTCAAACGCAGCCTTACAGATGTGCTCTTCTCAGCGAAGCCCAAAGACATGCCGACGGCTCTCGCCTTGGCACAAGAAGTTGAATCCAATCACGAGAGGTACATCTTCGCAACAACGTTTGCAAGAAGCCAAGAGGAAAAGGATCGTAGGCCAGCTCACAAGACGCCAGAACGTCAGCAGGACAAGATCCCGTCTCAGCCAGGCCAACAATTTGGCACCAACAAAAACCCGCACTTTAGTAAGCAACACAAGGCGCAGGTTCATACCGAACCACGCAATAATAGGCCCCAACAGGAACCTATGGATGTTGACCCATCCCTTTCTAAGATGTTACAGCATCCCCCAGCCCCAGCTTACCAGAGTAGGAGGCCAGCTACGTCTGACCGAACGAACATACAAAAGAAGCAAAGGGTTAACCACATCTCACAGGGTGGAGAACAGGCAGGAAAAATTATGCCAGCGTAGCCTCCAGTGCAGCATCGAAAATCGAAGATGCCAGTGAGGAATACGATTCAGATGTAATAAATTTTTTAGATCAAACTCCCTGCTACCCTACCTCAAACGGAGAGTAGCGGGGAACGTTAAAAAATTCCTCGTAGACACGGGCGCCTCTAAAAGCTTTATTAAGCCTTTCAAGGGGCTAAAAGGCGTCCGTCCAGTAGAATCCCCTTTCAGCATCCAATCAATCCATGGCACATCTCACATAGCGGAGAAATGCCTCGTCTCAATTTTTAACATTACGGCCACATTCTTTGTTCTACCGGACTTAGCATCGTTCGATGGGATAATCGGTTTCGACCTGTTAAAACAGGCCGGAGCATCGCTTTGCTTAGAAACTGGGATTCCCAAATGGGGTACGGAAGTCGAAAAACTTTCCTTCCACACCTGCGCTGATGTCAACTTTACTAACGTAGATTGCTTTAGTGCACCCCCTTTCATTAGAGACGCCTTCATGAAAATGTTAAAGAGCAGAAAAAAGGCTTTTGCGGACCCTAACCAGGCTCTGCCGTGTTATATAGTTGTAGCCACCATAAGAACAGAGAATGAAGAGCCCATTTATGCCAAACTGTACCCGTACCCCATGGGGGCGGCTGATTTGGTTAATAAAGAAATTCAAAATCTTTTAAACAATGGCATAATTCAAAAATCAGTGTCTCCGTACAACAATCCAATATGGATAGTAGACAAGAAAGGCACTGATGAAAAAGGTAACAAGAACATGCGACTAGTAATCGACTTTCGCAAACTTAATGAAAGCCTTTTCTATCGCGGAAGACACTTCTGAGTGACTTCTGGAAGATAAAACTATCTTCCGCGACTATCGCTTTCGGATCGCGGAAGTGACGTCCGTCGGGAAGAACTGTGACACTTCTGCGTCACCCCCCAGAAGAGACTTCCGCGACACTTCCAGAAGTGACTTCTGCGTCACCCCCAGAAGAGACTTCTGCGACACTTCCAGAAGTTACCCAGAAGAATATTCCCAATTAGAAAAAATAATAGAAAATATTTTTACTATATTTATTAAAAATTTAATTTTTTTTAAATATAATAACTTATATGTTAATATATATTTTTTTATATAATTTTGTATATTTTCGACGCTTGTACACCCGATGAACTGCTGATGGAAGATTTTTTGATTTTTCAGCTCTGAATCATCTGGAAATTTAACAAACGTGAACTCTAAAAGAAAACAAACAAATAACATTATTAAAACAAGAAAGGAAGCTAGCTTCGGCAAGCCGAAGCTTATATACCCTTGCAGTCATCAAATATTTCGAAAATTTTATTTGCTATTCAAGAGTCGTTAGAAAACTCTATATTCCAAAAATCATGATTTTCTGATAAGAAATAACAATGTTATCATTTTATTTCCGTTAATTCTATATAGATTTTTCGATCTTTCTTATGGCAGCTATATGATATAGTTGTCCGATTTTTATGAATTTTTTTTTATAAATCAAGGCTAGTTAAAAAACTTGATACTCAAAAAATCATGCTCGTGGGATAAAAAACAGCGATGCTATCAATTTATTTCCATTAATTCTATATATATTTTTCGATCTCTCCTATGGCAGCTATATGATTGAGTTGTCCGATTTTGATCAAATTTAATCTGAAATTCAATAACAGTTGGAAAACGCCATCTTGAAGAATTCAAGTCGATCTGATGAAAAACAACGGCGGGAGAATTTTTCATTTCATTCCCTCGTATGGGAGCTATCCGATATAGTCGGCCGATCCGGCCCGTTCCAACTTATATACTGCGTGCAATAACTACACACCTTTTGGGAAAGTTTCAGCAAGATAGCTTTAAAACTGAGAGACTAGTTTGAAGAGAAACAGACAGACGGACAGACGGACAGACGGACAGACGGACAGACGGCCAGACGGACAGACGGACAGACGGACAGACGGACAGACGTACAGACGTATTCTGATTCTACTCGTGATGCTGATCAAGAATATATATACTTTATGGGGTCTGAGGTGTCTCCTTCACTGCGTTGCAAACATCTGACTGAAATTATAATACCCTTTTGCTCTGCAAGGGTATAATGAAAAGCATATTTAGAAACTGATGTACATTACCTTTATATAAAAAAATAGTAGATCTTAACATGTGCTGCCTTTTTTCCGGCATTGTACGCGTTGTTAGACGCAATAATATCTTTAAACACTTAACAATTTTCAGACTTGAACTGGCACAGTAGAAACTAACTGACGCTTTGCAGCAAAATCAGTACGCGGGTCAAAGGAAAATACAAAAAAATGTTCAGTAAAACCAGAATATCGGTAAATTTTTGGGACCTTTGCTTTACTATCTTCCTATCAACTTCCAGAAGTGAATTGGGAGATAGTTTTTTTTTGTATATTTGTGGTTGTAAAATGTGTGCTATCGTCTTTCTATCTTCCAGAAGTGACTTATAAGTGACTTCTAGGCGATAAAAAACTTTTTCTTTTTTTTCCAAAAATTTCTATCGTTTTTCTATCTTCCAGAAGTGTCTAAGAAGTGACTTCTAGGCGATAGATGTGTATGTATTTTGTTTTTGTAAAATGTGTTCTATCGTCTTTCTATCTTCCAGAAGTAACTAAGAAGTGTCTTCTAGACGATAGGGGATAAATTTATCTTCCAAAGGCTTGCAGGGTAATCATGGTATAATAACTACAAGGTAGTCGCGTCGCCGGCGTCAGTCCCCTATTGCATTATCATTATCCGCTTCAAAGTTGTCCATTTTATTTAGTTCGTCCTCTTGTTTTTGCTGTGTTTTAAAATCGAGGTTTAACCAACTGCAGGAGTTGTCCTCGTCCACATTGCCATGGTATGACAACAATTCAGTGTTTTTCGCTAAATTAAATATAAAAACTATAATTAATCAAATAAAATTAAAGGAAAATATGAACAAAAAACACATAATACAGTAGACAGACACGGCTTACTAACGATCACTTTTCTGAAACA